GAGCGGCTAGGTCGCTGGTGGCTATCTCGGTGAACTTACAAATAAGCACTTCAAGCTACAATTGTTGGTGCTAGATTGCGCCAGAACTGATCTGCTAAGCACCCAACTTTTGCTTTATGCCAGTTAGAACAACGTACTTTTTTGCATAACACCCGTTGTGTCTGCCAAAGGTTAAGTAGTCCCCGTTGTTTGAGCAATTTGGAACTGCTCCCGGGAAAAACGCACATGTTAACCACCTTTCTGTAATTTTACCTGATCATTTTATTGGAATTATTCTCGGAAGCAGGGAAGTGCTATGCGGTCGAGGCATGCCTTCATCGAAGGCATGATTCCATGCATGCAAAATCTGACGGCAAATATTTCGGCTGATTTTTTATTCGAGTAGCTTGTCGATTGCAAGCGTGATCACACTGATGGTCCTAATATCCGAGACGTTCTTTCCTGACGTATGCCTGACTTTTCAGCCAGATTCACTCGCAGGGTTTTTAATTTCATGTTTTTGCTCTCCCGCTAAAAGTCAACCATCTGCCAAGAACACTGCCCAAAAGAGTAAGACGTTTTTAAGCAGAAGGGTATAGCCAGACAACAACCTGAGTTACCCAAAAGAACGGTGGCCTGGTACATTATCCTTTTTGATCTTTGATCAAGTGCTCTATAGTCCGCAATGCTTATGCAGTTTGCATTTTGAATTATTCCACAGAACTGGCCCACCAGGATTTCTTATACGCCATTGCCCGACATCTTCTAACAATGCTAACACCCAACCTTCACTCTTGTAACACCCAAGATTCGAACTCGGATTCGCTGGTGAGAACGCAAACGTCATGACCATTGAGCTACGGGCTCGTTGTGTTGTCGGTTTCGATCGGGAGTATAGAGAACGTTGGATGGTGTTTCACCGATCGGTTACGGGATGCTCTTGTTCCGCTGGGCTCTTGAAACTCAGGTTTTTGTCTGCAGACGGTCATTTTTCGACTTGTATTACATTCAGCATAAAACTGGAATAACTATTTCTGAGTCAGTAGCCATCATCCGGCAGCCATACCCCTCCAATGATTATTGATGTTTTTGTGTGTTCAATACCCTTGTGTGTAATATAAATCCGTGAAATGAACCACATAATTTGGAACGTGATAGTGCTGCACTGTCAAGGAAGTTGACACTTCGCAACCGCAGTGCACGTAAACCTGTTCGCACAACACCCGTATGCACTTGTATTACGTTTAAGCTGCATTTTCGGTCTATTGTTTTGGCGCTGACTTTCAAGAGCACATTTTTTCCGCAAGGAACATGGTCTGGAAAATGCACTGCAACCCTTCATTACAATCTCTTGAGATCATTGTTGACGCTGTTGGGGGTTTTACTTATCCAAACCTGCGATATTTTCTGTTCCATGTTGCTCGAGCTATTCCCTATCACGGTGCGTTGGGAAGAGATCCATCAGACTGGAGACTTCGCGTCTTCTGGTACAGGCACTTCAATGTTAAAATTGTTGTTTCTTCCAGGCTACTCACAGTTTATCCTCTCGCCCAGACGACCATGGCTACAGCTTGCATGGGGAAGCATTAAATCAGGGCTCCCATGGTCTGCAGACACGTGAAAACCGAACCGCACTGCCAGTGAGTATTGCTTTTTTCTATCCTCCTCTTCTACGGCCTTTGCACTCATTGCCAATGTGAATGATGTTTGTATATTGGTACCTATATGATTTTAAATTTATTGGCCCTCACTCTGACTGCAAGTGTTTTTATTTGCAGCTGATTCACTGCTGCTCAAGCGTCTGCCATCGGCCGACTACCTTGAGAGGCACTATGTTTTGATGAGTTCATCAGAGAGTGTGTAGTGATTAACCGTGTGGTGGGTGCCGGGTAAAGGGCGGCGTCTGTGCTTCTTAATTCAGACTTTCTAAGATCGCCTACGGATGATTTTAAAGGTTTCAATTGCACAAACTTGAAAAAATATTCTGTGTATTATGCTGGATACAGAAATCACCCTTGTTGTTTGTTCGGTATATCTTGTCCTTTTGCTAGTACCTGTGCTGACCGTATGTAAATTAATGCCACGTGTGTTGGCTATTGTAATTTATGGGAAGTTTAAGATTAAATTATACAAAGAAATGTATACAGCGAGAGTAATTGACACCAGCATTTGGGAGCTACCTGAACTGCCGACTTACTGGCTTACTTTTACTTAGCGGCATTATATAAGCTAGTTGACATGCAAATGGAGACTTCGCGGCTTTCGGTAGAAACTTTTAAATTTTTCATTCGTTGTTTCTTTCAGACCACTGACAGTTTTTCGTCTCGCTCGAGTGAACAGGGCTACGGCGTGCACGTGGAGGCATTATCGCAGGCATCCCATGATCTACGGACAGGTGAAAACCGAAATTCTGAACTTCAATTTGGACGGCCAGTGAGTATTTTCATTACCCGTTCATTTCTTCTAAGTCCCATGCACAGGCAACGCTCGTGCTGTGTATCTTTTGAAGCCTATGTGATTTCATGTCAACCAGACTCACTGTTGTTCGAGGGTCTGCCATCCACGGACTTACATAAAGCCCAGTTCTGTACGGCATGATGAGTGAATACGTAGTCTTGAGGGGCATCTAAGTTGAGGGCTAAATGACGATTGGATGTATTGTCGTCTTTAGTCTCTTGGAGTTGCCCCTAGAATAGGAGGACTGAATAGTTAGAGTAAGCTGTCTTACCTACTAGCTACGCGAGTGGGACTGGGGCTGGGCTGGCATTAACACAACATTGACACTCCGTAGAAAGGTAAGGGTCCTTCTTCTGCGTCCAAACACGAACCTCCTCATGATTCTCTATGTTGCACTTATTATACCATCTGGGGTTAAGAAGTCCATCAGAAAACACATAAGGACACCCTCCGTTTCCGCTTACAGCTGTTAATATGGACTCAAAAGGCAGAGCCAGCCTAGTATTCGGATAGCAATGAACCTTGCTGCTCTTCACTTGCATTCCTCATTTGAGATGAGCAAAACTTGATCGTTTTGCATTTAGCAAATTGAGCAATAGGAGAAGTTTTTCAGTCCCGGAGTCTCGATGAACCATTTGATTGCCTTTCGCAACAAATGCGATCGTATATCAGCAAGACAGAATGACAGCAGTTTTAGGCAGCCATGCGAGCTGTCAAAGTTCTGTTTGTGTGTGTGCTTCTTAACTCTGCAAAAATCGAATACAGACTGGGTAATTAGGTTGTAGTTTTGAAACCTACCGACGGACTCTCTGGTCTTTTTCCTGTCTTCC